ATGTACAATTTTGGATTCCCTGCAGGATATACCTTTCTTTTTTAATTGTTTGTGGGTTAATTGACGACTGAGGGTCTCCCAAACAGGAAACATCATATCATAGCCAATCAACTGAAAGAAAAGTTTTGACTTTAAACGCTTTTTTTTTTTAATGGCGCAAACTGAATAGAACTTCAATTTTTTGTCTTCTGAATATTTTTCACAAAGCCTTTTCTTTTTGTAATATTCATTTCAAAGTAAATGATCTTCTCCGTGAAACCGGGATCATTTTAACAGATGTTCGAAACGGGCGGGACGATACACGTTAATTCCTCGCTGCGTCATGCATCATTGGATGGAGAGCAGAACGAAAACGTTAAATTTTACAATTAGAGTTATAATGCAGTTAGATTTAACTCCTGAAAATCTGAGTTTACCATTAAAAAAATCCGTCCAAGTACCATTTATACTTTTCAAAGGTACAACTCTCTACCAAAGCGGTTGAGCTAAATACCAAAAAATAACCGATGAAAATCGAGACCACTTATATTGAGCCAAACAAGAAGTTCATGCAATATACACCTGTACCTTTTAATTCAAAATTTTCAAATTTCCTATTTAGTCAGCTATTACTACAGCCAAGAAAATGCAAATTAAAATTCGAAAAATATTGGATTTATTTTTTCATGGCTGGGGGTGTAATATCATGCCTGTTACTGCTAAGTGATACCCACAAACATCTGTTAATATGAAAAATTTCACACCATCATTCCTCCGATTACATGAGTAGCATCGATGATAAATTTTGCCAAGGCATTATTGTAGATCCTGTACTTTTTTGGTTGTAAAGTTACATTCCTTCTGACGAATTTTATCTTCGGTCGCCATTTTAGAAAGCATGTATTATGCCTTGGCAAAAACGTTTCATGCCTTGTTAAAATTTGCATCTTCATTTATATTATAGGTTTTCAGAATATCTATAAAGTTTTTCAAACTTTGAGATTCAGAAAATATTAACAGAGTGTCCACAAGAAAATGGCCCACCGTTTTGGCTTAAACTTTGTACAAAGGCAAGGTTTTATGAGTTACGAGTGAAAATTGGAGCATGCTGAGGATAAAGAAACCGCTGAACAGCTTGATGCTCAAAATGGCAATTGAGCCAAACGTCGGTCTCACTTTTTTCTCAAAGTTCATTACTCGTGACATTCTGTAAAAATACAGTCGGGAAGAAGTATTACAGTATGGAGGAACCAGTGATACTTAAACAGTTCATCTCTGTGATGATTTTTTTCAATTCGCTTTGTACTAACCAACGAAAGAAACATCACACATTTACTAAATAAATATCTTTTATTGAATTGCACGAAAGTTCTCTGTATTTCACTGTTTGACCACATTATTTCTTGTTTCCGGTCGCTCCAGCTCCCACGCACATATAAACTTTCAAAATGGCCGTCGGTCAATTAAAATTCAAAACTTGTCTTGGTTCTAACTTGTTTGCAATGTTCGATAGTAACTAATTTAGACATGACTCAATCTGGGGGCGAACTCGACTTGGTGGGGTCGAACTCGAAAAGTGTTGGGGCGAACACGGTATAAGGTAGGGGCGAACTCGATAGGGGGCGAAAGCGGCGGATACCCTTTTATTTACATGTTCCACACAGGCCCAGACAAAGAAACCGAGGAAGAAACTGAAAAAGAGCGAGAGAAGGTCCACAAAAATGAGCACCCACGGGCAGAACATACTAAACCCCAAGATGAAGGACAGCTGAAGACAAAACAAAAAAGGTCTGCCAAGCCAGGACAGCCTGAAAATGAGCCAAAGACTGAAATCATAAAGTCACAAGATGTTACAGGAAATTGCGAATTCGAGCAGCCACAGAGAGATTCTGCAGGGGACGAGGACAATTCTACTGTTGAAGGTAAGGCGTAGGTTACTGAAATCAATCATCAGTCTTTTGACTTTTAAGTAGCTCTAGGTGACCACGTTGGGTGATATTTTAACTTCCTATACGGGCGCAAACTTACTTGTGCCCTCATTTCATCCACATTCCCTTCCTTTATATGCTTCCGTCTACCAGAATTGGAATGCAACATCTCGTCGAATCAAAATATTCAAGGAAAACTGAAGAACCCCTTGATCAACCTGACTCTTGAAAATACAATACATTCAACCACCACAGCTTTTGTGAAAGAGTTATCGGCAAATTCTGTTGAAGAACGTTATTTTTTAAACCGTTGTTAGATCAAGTTCAATGTTTTTTTATTTTTATTTTTTATCTTGAGTAAAGTGGATTAAAAGTCCTGTTTCAACTATCCCTCCTAGCTTCTTTGGGACAAATTAGAAACAAAACACAATGGACATGGATGTAGATGTCAAACACGCAAATATAAAATATGCAACGCCTATTGTGATTTTCATTTTCTTTCAATCTTTTCAAAAAGGTAGTTAACAGTTTGACTTATTATTTGTAACGTCTCTTCAGTAATTGTTGCAAGGAACAAAATAAACTGTGGACTAAGGGTTTGAATGGTACAACCCTTTTTTCCTCATATGGGGATTAAACCCCTTGATATATATGAAAATTAAAATAAAAATGTACAGGCTTCCACAGCAGCTTGCAGTTACGGCTGTGGCCTTAGTTCATCAGATGGGTAGACCTATCAGATGGGACAAGGGACTCTGTCAATTCAGTCTCGGAAATTTTGGCTGCAACAGACTACACAGGTGGCCGACTTGGTTTACTCGAGTCAACAGTGAATCTTTTCAAACTACGTAAGTTCTCCAGCAATAAATAAGCAAACCCCCAAAGAGGAATGGCCCATGTGTAAGTTATTCATTGGGTTGTACATTTCCAAATGTTGTTTCATAAGAAATAATAACGATTATTGATAGCGCCCAAGCTGTTTCAAAAGGGACGGATGCTGCGTTGGAAAGAGAAACAATTTTCTACCAAAATAATTGCAGAAAATACAGTATAATTGTGTCCAAACACTTATTTAGATTTAGGCAGCGTAAGATCACCTATTTGTCACTTATCCAGTTGCATGTAAGAGTGGTATTTAATTATGTTTGTTCTCTTGAGACAATGGCTTGTTTGATGATTTCTGCTTTAAACTTAGTTTGCCTGTTCTCTTATTTGTTTCCATCACTTTCTTCTTTTTCGCTTGAGGTTCTTTATTTTCTTCTTCAGATTTATCCTGCAGTAAAGACGAATAGTGACAAGCTATAACTTAACGGTCAGTTAACACCACCAAAAGTGAAACTATTGTAAAATTGTTGGATAAAATACGGTCATATCTTAAGGCATTTTAAAGGTTTTTAAAGTATTAAATAAAAGCTAATAGACATGCAGCAATATTTTTGTAGGAACTTCAGTAATTTTCGATTTTTATACCTACATGTATTTAGTAGAGTTCACTAAATGCTTCCAGTAGATGAAGCCACCAAAGAAATATACACTAAACGCATGGCGAAAAATACAATTTATAATTTACAATGACATGACAAAGTGCACTTAAACCATTAACCTCTTCTTGATCCTCTTCCTCGCCCTCGTCATCTTCACCTTCACTGCTTGAATCTTCTTTCAGAGCAGCATCTAATGTTGCACCATTTATTCTAAAGTCTCGTGCCAAACTGCGTTTAAAGTGTTCCATCAGATTGATCTACGAGAGTTTAAAAACAAGGTTAAGAAACCTAATAACTCATTCATGACGATTTAACAACGGAATTTTCCAATGACAAAGCTCGTTTGCACCATTTACTACTTGGAATCATGGACGAAAGTGCAAAAAAAGGGCCACATCTTTGTAACATCTTAAAGAATTTAATCCTATGCAGGAATTCGTTTAGGTTATAAGAACAAGACATCCAAAGTTTTGACTACAGCTCTGAAAATTGTAAAGAGACACCACCCTTGAGCTCACAGATGGAAATCCTGATTGAGAAACCAGTAATTGAACCCTTAACCCCTAAGAGTGATTAGCATCTAATTTCTCCTTACAATATCAACATCACATCATGCAGTAAGGTCATGAGAATAAAAAAAATTATCAGCAGCTAAAGCTGTTGATTGTTACACAAATTCTCCTTGTCAGCACCTTGGGGAATGTCTGGGGAACAGTATGGAGAATATCTTCACTGATGTTAGGGTGTAAAGGGCTAATCCTTTCTCACCTTAGACTTTTTTGAGAGCTGTATTAGGTAACGCTCATATTGTTCCATTGCATATATTAAGTTCGGCACAGACTTCATCTCTTTCATAACTTTTGCCTAAAAATGTATTTTGGGAAAAAAAAAGTTTTAAGTAGTGTAGTCTCAAAATACAAAATAAGTTTTAAGGGAATATCAGGGAGATCCGGTTGTGTGCCAGTACCCCAAGGCCGATGTGCGCCTTCTTAAGTCATTAACACTAGTTCCGAGAACTTTATAAAGCAAATTTGATGGAAGATTTACACTTCAAGAGA